ATCTCCGAATCGCTCAGGGACCCGGAGGAAGACACTTCGGGGTGAGCCCTGGTCGGACTGCACATATGTTCGGCGTTAAACAAAAGCAATAGAGTGAAGTTAGGATGGAGTGCGGACACTTACGATCGCACTGGCGGCTGCCTAAGGGGCAGCCACCCCTCCTCACTGTGGGCGGCCGTGGCGGAGTAGTCCGGAAGGGACACCTTCTCCTTCTTGGACGCCCCAGCCTCCCCCTCCGGGGCGGCTTTTCTCTTCTTCTCCGTCCCAGTGCGGAGAGGTGGAATTTCTTCTTGATTCCCCCCGCCTCCGTGGGAGGAATCTGTCTCATCGTCATCAGACGATAGGGGTATGACGACCTTACGCCGAGGCCTTTTCCGGCCCCCTGGTCCACCTCCCCGGGTCCCTCATCCTTTTTGGATGGGGCGTATTCTTCTTCTTCCTCCTCTCCCTCATGGGAGGAGTGTGCCTCGTCGTCTTCGGACGAGGCTTCTGGCATAACCTTACGCCGGAGACCCTTTCGGGTCCTCGGGGCCTTCTTTTCGGCCTTCTTCTCCGGCACCTTGTACGGTGCCGGGAGCAGCATCTCCGTCAGGATAGCATCAGCTGGGCCTTCTGGTAGCAGAGCCGGACAGTAAACCTGCTCCGCTGTCTCCACATAATCCTGAAGCAAATATGCATAACTACTTAAAGCTCTTCCATGGATATATTGGGAAGAACCGAATCCGGTGGTAGTCTGAGAACTCACCTGACTAGGAGCCCGCGCGGTGTGAAGCCCGCGGTCCTCGGATGTGGGAGGAGGTACTTCGGAGGCCTTGAACAACACCTTCCATGCACCTTTGTGCGTCATGTCGTAGAGCTTCCGGAGTGTCTGGTGTTCGGCCGGGACGAACTCCCACAGATTAAATACCCGCCTTTGGCATGGTAGAATCCAGCGAACGAGCATAACCTGGATCACATTAACAAGCTTGATGTTCTTGTTCTTCATGCTCTTGATGCAGGTCTGGAGTCCGATCAGCTCCGTAGATTCGCCCCAGGACAGGCCCTTCCTTTCCCAGGAGGTGAGCCACATGGGGGCTCCAGATCTGAATTCGGGGGCCGCCGCCTAGTTGGCGCCGCGCAGCTCGGTGATGTAGAACCACCCCGATTGCCATTCTTTTACGGTCTCCGCAAAGGAGCCGTCCAGCCAGGTGACATTGGGCATCTTGCCCACCATGGCTCCTCCGCACTCTGCTTGTTGGCCGCTAACAATCTTCGGCTTCACGCAGAAGGTTTGCAGCCACAGGCCAAAGTGAGGCCGGATGCGGAGGAAGGCCTCGCATACGACGATGAACGCTGAGATGTCGAGGATGAAATTTTGTGCTAGATCATGGAAATCTAGCCCGTAGTAAAACATAAGCCCGCGGACGAAGGGATGAAGTGGAAATCCCAGTCCACGCACAAAGTGGGCAACAAACACGACCCTCTCGTGGGGTCCTGGGGTCGGAATGACCTGCCCGGCGTTCGGTAGCCGGTGCGCTATGTCTGCGGCCAAGTATCCGGCCGCCCGAAGATTTGTGACATGCTTCTCCTTGATGGTGGAAGCCACCCACTTGCCTCCTGCTCCGGACATGTTTAGCTGTGTAGAAAAGACTTGGGCTTGGGCGCTGGAGCTCGAGGGGGCAAGAGTGGGCAAGGGAGAAAGGAGGCGTGGGTAAAAATGAGGAAATCTTATCCCTTTATAGAGGCGACGAAAGCGGTGAGCCTCCCCACTTGCCCGTTGGGAATCGCTTGCTTCCCAAGCGCCACGATTGATGGCGTGGTGGGATTACCCATACCCGTATTGATGAGAATCCTGTGATAAGGGGACACGATCTCTGCTTTGACAAGACGTGTCAAAGAAACCGCCTCGTAATATGCGCTATAGCTGGTTGTGGGAAAACGGTTCGAATGATGATCCGCCCGTAATAACATGTCACGTCATCAGAAAAAGTTGTCAGCAGATTGCGTTTGTGAAATATCATTCTCTCTACGGTGGCATGTGAAGACCATTTTGTGGATCCGGACACGATTCAAGTGTTCCATAATTACTTCGGCGTATTCGGAGAAGGAACCCGCCTTGCAATGCCGAAGACAATACCGCACGCCGGACTCATTGTCATTGAAGCCTGGTTCAGGGGCTACTGAGGGAGTCCTGGATTAGGGGGTATCCGGACAGCCGGACTGTGTACAACGTCCGGACTATTGAAGCGTGAAGATACAAGACTCAAGACTTCGGCCCGTGTCCGGATGGGACTCTCCTTTGCATGGAAGGAAAGCTTGGCGATCCGGATATTGTGTTTCCTTCCTTGTAACCGACTCCATGTAAACCCTAGCCCTCTCCGGTGTCCATATAAACCGGAGAGGTTGGTCCTTAGAAGGCTGATCACAATTACAATCATACCATCATAGGCTAGCTCTTAGGGTTTAGCCTCTACAATCTCGTGGTAGATCTACTCTTGTACTACCCATATCATCAATATTAATCAAACAGGAAGTAAGGTTTTACCTCCATCGAGAGGGCCCGAACCTGGGTAAACATCTGTGTCCCTTGCTTCCTGTTACCATCAGCCTTGACGCACAGATCGGGACCCCCTACCCGAGATCCGCCGGTTTTGACACTGACAATGGCCTCATGCTCCTTCTTCGCGGGAAGGAGTGTCGGCTCGGTATTAGGCTCGACGAGATGGGAGGAGGGAGGAGAAGGGACAGGACTGCCCTCATTGATGACGAGGGCGCCGCCGCGGGTGTGCCGCCCGAGCGGCGTATCCTGCAGCTCCGGCTTGACGGGGAGGAGCGCCGGCGACCCGGAGGAACGGGAGCCCGACGAGGACGACGACGTCGTCTCCATCCGCCTCGGCGTCCAGGAACTGTCGCGGTGGCCGAAGCCATTGGCCTCTGCTCTCTCGCCGGGGTAGCGCTCGACCATGGTCAGGGTTCGAGAGACGAGGAGAGAGAGGGCATCGGCGGTGAAGAAGAGAGCATGACAGCGAGAGAGAGGCTGTAGACTGTGCGGCCAGCGGCGAGGAAGGGGCGGCTTTTATAGCGGCGAGTGGGCGGCGAGCGGGCGGCAGTAGTGTGGACGCATGGCAGGGAGGGGCGGGACGCACGGCGGTGCGCCTTCACTGCGCCGCCCGTGAATCAATGAAAGGCTGACCGGCGGCAGCCTTCGCATTGATTCCTGCGGGAAAACGAGGCGATGAGGACGACGAAGATTCTCGGCGACGCGCAGCCGCTGACTAGGCGGGTCCAAAAGGCTTTCGCGAAAAACGTTTTCCTTGACGCCCTCGGGCGTACCCTAGCATGTCGGGTTCTGCGTGGGTCCACCGACGGCAATTTTGGCCCTAACCGTGGCGCGATCGTCCACGAACATAGAGTTTGCGGGCACTTTTATGGATACCGCAGGCAGCCCACGACCAGGGGAGGGCAGTGGCGGCCCAGGCCAGGACCCATTGCCCTCCTTCTAACGTCACTGTATAAAATTAACTGATGTGATCAAGTCTCCTGCGCTTGCGGCGAGGCTCTGACTCAACATTCTAGCTTGTAGAAATAAAACACAAGTACTTTCTGAATCTGTGTTCCTGGCTTCCTGCTGCAGCCTACTGATCTTTCTGCATATAATGCAACAAGTACTCCTACTGAATGTTCAGAGTGTTTTGGGTGTTTTTTCTGAACCTGTGTTGTTGCTGCAGTCTATATACTGCGGCAGACCAATATACATCCGTATATAGTCCATTTTGAAATCTTTAAAAATAGTTATATTTAAGAAAGGAGGGAGTAGTACTGTACCTCCAGAGAGACCAAATTGAACTGTCACTGGAGCAGATTTAATAACTCATTGCTGATGATTAGCATACCCCTTGAATTACTGGATATGGTTTTAAATCATCTCCTTTGTTTCGTTCTGTAGGTAAGTTTAACAAATGCCAACTTGGAAGGGGCACTTGTGGCAGGCATCAATTTCTTTCAAAGGCTGTAGACAAATGGTCCTCTGTTTCGTTCTGTGGGTCAATTTGTTGCCATACGTGGATAGTGTCAGCCTGTCAGGCATACTTGTTGACTACAATGGAAACCAAATAAACTCCCAACATCAGGTATTAATCAGTAAATTATTTATTTGATTGCTGATATTGATGCCAGGAAATGCTATTCATTTTTCCTTCTTCACTATCTAGGCTGGTGCAGTAACACCGTAAACGTGTGGATTTATAAATATGGGCCCCTTACATACACGCTATGTGACAAATACCAACTATACATAGACTTGCTTGTTCAGCTAGCTCATACTTCTTAAATACACGCTATGTGATAAAAGCCAATTATACAACAACTTGTCTATTCAGTTAGCATTGAGATATGCATCCCTGATTCCATGTAGCATAGCAGCCACTCATGCATGGTGATGCGTTCACCCGGAGATGCCTTGGTGCAGCGAAGGCCAATGTTTAGAATAGGTAGCAGAACATTTACACTTGTTTCCTTCAATACTACTGGAGTTTCCTCCGATTCCTGTAGCAGCTGGGGATCGACAATCTCCAATACACTATCAGGAAAGCTAATCTCTGTAAACTTCACGATATTCAGTCCATCCGTAAACATGTCATCAGTTGGCCTTCTTCGAATGAATATCTCGAGGAGAACGACACCAAAGCTGTAAACATCCGCGGCGGTTGAAACTTGACCACCCCCTGCATATTCTACACATCAGTGAATACAAAAGGAGTTAATTTTGCTTTCATTGGTTTACATAGATGTAGAAGAAAAAGTGGTGACAAAGAGTCAATTACCTGGAGCAGCGTATCCAATTGTTCCCATTACTGCAACCGAAGAAGAACTTGAGTTACACTGAGATGATGAAGTCGAACCAACTTTGAATCTTGCCAGGCCAAAGTCTCCAACATGAGCTGTCATATTCTCATCCAAAAGAATGTTGCTAGGCTTTAGATCACAATGAACCATTATGCCTTGGTTGTTGTGGTGTAGGTACTCCAGTGCATCTGCTACATCCACCAAAATGCTTATCCTTTCAGCCATTGTGATAAGGTACAAATTAGAAGAGCCCTCATGGTCTTGAGTTGAATATAGTAGTTTATGTAAGTCTCCTCGTGGCATGAACACATACACTAGGGCCTTGAAATCGTTACCATCAGAATCAATGCTGGAGCAAGCGGTTAAGATAGGTAGCAAATTACGGTGCCGCACATTTCTCAATGCATTACATTCTGCAATGAAGCTTTTTTGTGCTCCTCTTGTCTCTAGGTTGAAGACCTTTATAGCAACCTCATTTTCTTCTTCAGCTAGTTTTCCTTGGTAGACATAACTATATCTCCCTCTTCCAATTAAGTTGGATATTGAGAATCCCTCTGTTGCTCTTGCCAGATCGTTGAAAGAAACTTTGGGAAATTTTGTAGCAAATGATGGTGACGATATGGATTTGCCTTGGTGTTTTCCTCTCCAGAAAATTAATCCAAATATGACCATAGCAAGTGACACCATACTAGCTATTGGGATGACTACTTTCAACACTAAGTATTCCTTGTGCCTAGTTGAATTTGAAGGCATAAAAGAACATGTTAGCATGTGCAACTCCAATGCCCCACTGCAAAGCCCCTGATTTCCATAAATCCGCACAACAGTTGCATTCTTGAAGATCCCTTTTGTTGGAACCTCACCATGAAGATGGTTGAATGACAAATCAAGTTTCTCCAGAACTTGTAGGTTGCCAAGAGATGCTGGTATTGACCCAGTTAAGTTATTGGAAGAAAAATTCAAAACTTTGAGGCTGCTTATCTTGCCCAATGAAGTGGGAATGCTTCCGCTGAAAATATTTGAGTCTAACTCAATGTCTTCCAAACTTTCACAATCACCCAAAGTGTTTGGAACATCTCCAGATAGCTTATTTGACGAAACTCGAAAAAATATGAGTTGTTTGGCATTGCCAATCTCGATAGGGAGTTGTCCACCAAGGTTGTTGAATGAAAAATCAATTCCAATAACTGATGGGATTGCAAAGATCTCCACTGGAACTCGGCTATCAAGATTGTTCTTGGAAATGTCCAAATATCGACACGTTTACTTTGATGAGATGGTCTTCCCGTTTCAGCAGCAGGCACCCCTCGTCGTCTCGTCACCGCCAGCCACCGGCGGCCCATCGACGACCTCGTCAGGTGGACGAGCACGCCTGGTTCGTGGACCGCCTCCGGGCTTTGGCGGTCCACGGGCCCTACTGCCGGCGCCCTCCACGGTCGGCCCTGCCGTTGCGGCCGGCGCCCCGCCTTCACCCGCCGCCCCCGCCTCAGGCGCCGCGGGGTCGGGCG